ACAGTGTTTCTGTATATTTGCCTAGAAGGCAGCCTGAGAAGTCTTTTGACTATCTCAAAACTACTGTGGTTCAATTTTTCTGGGCATGTGTTGCCCAACCTCAGAGGTGCTTACTGAAGAGTAGACATGTCTAAGTCACTGAGCTGCTAGGTAATACTTTTAAGAAAATACCTTCTTGGAGCTCTACTACGTTTAAAGTTTTAAGTGTACTTAAATTTGTGCAAGTGAAGTGTCTTCCATGTTACTGGTAAAAGGGCAAGCTGGTTTGCATCATAACTCTGTGAGACCCACTTTAACGGCAATTGGTGCCAAAAATAAAATGGTTGTGCAGAATCGATGCCAAAAAGCAGAACCCTGTTACAGAGCAGACTGTAGGAGGCCTGCGGTATGCATAGCAGTTTCTGAGACAGGATTATACTCAAGTATTGTCTTGTTAAAATATTTCCTCCACTCTTTATTTCCTCAGCTCTTAGACCTGTGTATTCTGGATGTGAATTCTTTGGACTTCCAGTATAGAACGCTAGCTGCTGCAGCGCTCTGCCACTATACCTCAAGTGAAGTAGTTAAGAAAGCTTCAGGTAAAGGAGCCTTTGTAAAGCTTGGTCTTCTTAGGCAGGCAATTCTGAAAGCTGTTATAAGCCTGAGGCTGCCCAGAATGTCTTGCTTTACCAGGCTGCTAGAGCAAAAGCTACATGGACACCAATAGTTTGTTCTTCTGTTGGGGGGGGGGGGGGGGGGGGGGGTGTGTTCTTCGCACGGGGGGTGGGCTGGTAGGTTTTTCTCCCCCATCCTGAATTTTTGCTTCCTCCTTACCACTGTATCAGGTGTTACCAAAACTCAAAAGAGAAGGAAACACTTTCAGAAGCATAGTCTTAGCTAAGGAAATGAAGCAGATTTCTTGCTTTTGGGCCAATACTGCTGCTGTATGACTGACTTCCAGTTGTTTTTGGGGATCATTAGCTGTGGCTACTTTTTTTCTCCCAAAATGTAGGTTGGCCACCCTCAGCTGTCAGCAGCATTGTTAGCCTTTGTGCTAATTCCTACAAGCCTATACCTTACAAAATGGGGAAAAAAACCCCCACTTAACTAAGTTTAGCACTTGTTAGTTGCCCGAGGGGCAATAAAGGACAAAAGCGTATGTTTTTCATAGTCTGAACCAAAATCTTGTGCACAAGCTGACACAATCACTTCAGCCTCCTTGGTAAGCAACAGGCACCCTCGTGGCCAGGGAGCTGCGTTGCTCCAGCAGCCTGTGCTCACTGTCCTCTGCCACAACACTTTTGAGGTCACAAGTGGAAGGAAATGCCAGGAGTTTCTGGGAGGATGTTTCTGAATTTTTATCTGTAGTATTTGTTATTTTTAGATTTATGACCATATTGGAACACTGTGCCACTCCTTTATGATTTCTAAATACATTGCTGTGTTCTACCCTCTAGGCTTAGACTGGGACAGCATTTCAGAGTGTGTGGAATGGATGGTTCCCTTTGCGAGCGTGGCAAAAAAAGTCCCTGCAAAGCTGAAGAACTTTAAGAAGGTTGCAGTAGAAGACCGACATAATATCCAAACGCACACAAATTATTTGGACATGCTGGTAGGTGGTTTGTGGATTTGCAGCTCAGGCAGCTAAGGTGCATTATGCCTGGCTGGATGCCTTCCTGCTCATGCCTGGCCCAGCTCACCTTGGCCTGTTGGGCCAGTGGTGCCTAACTGTTTTGTTTAGTCCTCATGCTAGATGATGCTATAAGCTAAAGGTGTTTTACCCCAGCACTTATGGGCCCATAAGCAAAGGCTTGGATTAGAAGTGCAGGTGGAGTGTTTAAAAGACAATTATCTCTGTGTAATGTTGCTTTAGTTTTTTTATTCTGTATCCTGACTCTGGAGTACTTGACTTATACTAGCAGTGGGAGGTAGTGCTCCTGAACAGAACTAGTGAAACAAAAACATGGAACTTGCCACAGTATTGACCTGTCATCTTCCTCCCCTAAAACACAGGAAGAAGTTAACAGTGGAGTAGCAGCTACTGCCCCAGGTCAGTTATCACCTGTGTCAACAGGAGGAATAATAACCCCTCCCAAAAGTACAGAGAAGAAATGAAATATGGACAACAAACAAACAAACATCACAAAAGCTTCAGAAACAGGACTTGGTGCTTCAGAACCAGACCATGCTCAAGGTGACTCATGCTTCTTATTGCTGTTCAAGACTTGGGCAGTAAAAGCAGCAAACAGAGCAGCAGATGGAAAGTGAGACCTAAAAGGTTTAGACCAAGCACCCCTCCATGCTATCAATCACAGGAGCCTGGACTACTCTGGTCCATTTCTCAGACACAACTTAGTTCAACTCACTCTGACCATTCCTAACTTATGAATTTCAAGAACTTTTTAAACATGACTGAGTGGCAAAGTTTGTCCATTCAGCTTGCATCAAACTTACTTACTTGCTTTAACTTGGGCTAGCCATAACTTAATGACAGCTTGTACATATCTCTTCTTACCTTTTTTCTTTCCTTGGTAAGGTCAGAGCTTAATGCCTCAGTCAGTCACCCATGAGCTCAGGTGCAGTATTACAGAGCCCAGTGGGTAAGCAGTTTACTTTTCTGAAACCACTCTGCCCTTGCATTACTGTCTCATTCTAGCTCCACATCAGGCTGATGAATTGAAGGTGACACTTTTGGGCTGCCATAAGCCTTCAGTTCACTGAGCTCAGGTAAGAGTACAGGCAAAGAAGGTGCTGCTGAACTAACCTGAACTGGAAGAAGTTCCCTTGAAGGAAGGAGTCTATTTTATACAACCTTCAGCAAGAACAAACATAGAGAACGGGAGAGGGTAGGGGAAAAAAGTGAGCCGCTGGTACTCTACAACCACTCATCATATCATGGGAACAGTATTTTAAACTAACTGTGGAGCTGTATTTTATCAGTGTTCATAGACAGCATTAACTACTGTGTTTTCCTTGGAATATTCACTACCTCTGCCTATGAGGTGCTTCACTTCTGTGATGAAGGGACAGTACTAGGAAAGATGGGTATCCATCCTCCTCTCTCTTTCAAGGTGCTCCTACCTGTGCCCTGCACCCAGGGACAAGTTTTACATGACACTGAGCAGTCTGTGATGTTGCACTAGAGCATCATTAAACTCACACTCTTGGCCAACTTGAATTCATGTTGTCTTTGAACAAGCCATTGTGGAACTAGCTGGAGTTGCTTCTAGCCTTCTGTACAGTTTGTAAAAATAAGGGGTTTATTATAAGATTTCATCTATTTCTAAAAAGAAAGATACTAGGCTGTAAATGTTGTATAAAAATTTAAATGAATTTAAAAAATAAAGTCTTGAAAGATTTTTTTTTCCACTTCTACACATTTTATAATAGTCTACCAGCATTAACCTAGAAGTAAAGTTTTGCCATTGCTTGAAGAAACTTCTTTTTTCTTCTCTGTGCAGCAAGCTGCAGGACTTCCTCAGGATTACTGGCATTCAGCTCTGTCTGGCCAATGGCTTTTATCTGAAAACAAAGGAGGGGATGTCACTACACCACTCACTCCCATAAAGCTGCTTTATTAGAAGGCATTTTCAGCACTGGCTCAATGGGTGTTTTTTCTGTAACATGCTCTGCCACCCCACCACCACCCGGCCTCCATAGCAAGAATTAATACACAATGAAAGTAAAACTGGAAGTGGGCATTTGTTTCAAGGAGGGAACGACATGCTAAGGGAACCGCCTACCCCAAAGCACCCTGCGTTAACTTACCGCTATCTGCCGCTTGTCTGTCTCACCTCTTTTGTGGTGGAGATCTGAGGGTGAGTCAAGAAAAGACACTAGGGTAGGAAACAGACTTTTTCCAGCTATGAACATCCAGTATGAGCTTTCTGTAGGCATATTCTAGTGAAAGGATACATGTCAAATACTCCAAGATGGTGACATCCCAGATGTATTCATAATAAGAATCCATGGCATCATGACTGTAAGAGAACACAGGCTAGGACATCTAACATATTCACAGATTGTGTGTGCATGTTGATAAACTTCAGTGTACCATTTACCTGTTCTGTTCCTGCAGTGCCTTAAATGCAGTTTTATAGTCTACTTCTCTGAGGAACTGACACAAAATAGCTACCTGGAAGGAAAGACAGGCAATTTTCACAGCCTTAATTCCCCAAAAACTGAAATCTTCCACAACATGCCTCAGTAATCCCACCCCAGTTCCAGACCTAACCACATGCTTGTTTCCACAGTAAGCAAGTTCTGAGCACCTGAACTGCAAGAGCATACACAACTCTGAAATACCAAGAACAGTAACAGCTAAAAGGAAGAAAAAGGGTTCTTACTCAAATCTGAAGGGACTGACCTGCCTTCCAGGTTACTAAACACATTTAATAGTTCTTTCTGTTAGGCTCTGATTGTAAGAAGACTTGTTACTTTTGAATGAACAATCCCACCAAACAATCATGGCTGCACACAGTTATGACAAACAAGGCCAGGTTCCCAATGCCACCCCACAGATACCATACCCTCTCTCAACTCCACCAAAACCAACCCCAAACCAAAATCATCTATATCCCAAAACAGAAGTGGGATGCCCCCCCAACACACTATTTCTACCTTTTGCGACACTTCCAAATACAGGTTTATTTACTCATTAATTTGGGTCCTTTTAAGCACCCTAGAAGCAACAGTAACAACAACAAAATCTCTTTAATTGCAGATTGCATTTGCAAGCAAAGTTGGATCCCATTTTACTTTTTAGAAAGCTTACCCCCCCCCCCTTTTAACATCGAAATATTTATAAACAAACATTTTACTTGATGCCATGTTTCACCTCTTACCTGGGTGTGACAGTTGAGTAAAGAACAACACTTGATCATTCTTTTTATCACCTACAGAATGGTTAAAAAACAAAACACAAGTTTTGAAATGCCTAGTATTGCAACACAAACAGCAGGTGTTTTATTTTTTATAACACAGGGACCAGCTAAATATCTACATTCTTCTAACCCCTGCCCAACAATGTCATCAATTCCAAGACTTCCCAAGCATATGATGTGCACTACAGAACACAGCACTGTGCTTCTGACAGGAGAGAGGGCTGCTGTCCGTTAAAAAGCTTCACTTTTATCTCCTACCACCCACAGAAAAGTCCTGACCTGGGTGGGAACAGCACTGCAAGTGGGCTCATGGACAAAAACCCTCATGCCACAGCAGACGGGCCCTGGCAAGCAGCAGGGCTGCTGTGGGACAGCACAGTACAGTGGTCCCAGACCAGGAGTCCCGGCACAAGGCACAATTTAGATTGGGGTGTGAACAGAACATGCTGTGGCTGGGACTGATGATTCCCCCCAAAACACAGAATTATGAAGGGATTCTCACTCACAGCCCACTTGCAAGTGACAAGCCACTTGTTACATCAACTTGCAAAGTACACAAGGTACATACTATGTACAGTGCCATACCTCTGGCACGCTCCGACAGCAGTAAAGTTACAGTCCTACCCAACTCCAGACAACCCTGCCCAGCACTGCAACACAGCTCTGCTCACTGTCAGAGCCTGGGAAAAAAATACCAGCGTGTGTGTGAAAAGGAGCTAATGTTGTCTGGATCTCACTGCTAATGTGATCCATATTCCTGGCTCTCCCCTGTGTTAGCTAGAGCAAACAGTATTTCCGAAGCATTTAGACAATACGCTTATGTCCATCCACATGGTAGGTGGAAGCAAGCAGGGTCCATCCATGTGACACCAGCACCAAGCAGTGCAGTGGGAGCTGGATGTTTCCAGCGGCTGGAGGCTTGGGTCAGCACTCCAGCAGAGCTGGTGAGGCAGAGCCAGAGCTGCTGTGCTGTCCTGAGCTGGTCCACCTGCCTGGCACTGCACAACAGGCTGCAGCCCTGCAGGGATGGGCTGGGGGAATCGCCACACCATGGGGTTAGCATGCACTCCCAGCTTTTTCATTTGCTCGCTACCACACCAGAGTCCAGTACCGGTGCTTTCCCAGCTGGTAGCCCTGCACACTCAGTCTCTATGAACTAAGAGGAAAGCCTTCTGTGCTTCAGCAAAGGCGAACCTTCAGATTTTCTACAGCCTTCAAGCAACAAGCAAAGAAAAATGGATCTATGAGGATTCATATCCCTAAATGCATCAAGATACACAAATCTTACAGGCTACAGGAACGTGTGTGTGTGTTTAGCAGTTTTGTCTCTACAGAGAATTTGGATGCTGACTGAATCCAAAGAGATATTTTTGTACATCTAAATTCCGTTTTACCTCACCTGGTCTGTGTACACATCTGGTGGTACCATCTTATTAAAGAAGTCTGAGCATACAGCTCCTGCCTGTAGATAATAGTGAAGGGCTGCTGAATACTGATTTGTTGCTGCAATGGAAAAAAGCAAAATAGGGTCTTAAAAAGTAAACATAGCAGTTATTCCTAAGACTCAGATCAAATACTTATAGAATTAATAGATACATATACTTAGTAGCAGAATTCTACTGGGAAAGTGACTTGCTTATCATTGTTTAAAAAGCACAGCCACACAGGAGGTGGTATAACAGCGATAGAAGACTACACAATCACGAAAACTAGCAACACAGGCAAAGTTCCGCCTTTTGAGAATTGCTTTTTACTTTTCAGGTATTTGATCCTGAATCCATCAATCTTAGCATGGAAAAGAAGTTTGCCTTCACTGAACTTAGCACATGGGCAGTAGTGAAGGACTTAACCCGCACCAGCTAGAGGGGGCCAGCCGATGCCACTACACACACCTCAGGGTTCAGCACCAGTTTTACTCCCAGTCAGTCCTTACTGAGCTGACATGCAGACAGCCTTCAGGGGCTCTGCAGTGACAACAGTCTGCTTGGCCACGCTGCTTCTGAAACACAGACCTGACACATGCCAGGATTGCTCCAGCTGTTGCTCTTTCAGCTACCAGCTTCTGAGGGTCCTTCACAAACACGCTCCTTCTGGGATGTTGTGCTGCTTTGCACAAGCAGTAAATACCGACAGTTTATAACCTTGAATCACTCTCCCATATCCACGGTGACAGCCCTAAACACTGGATTAAAACCCCTCCCCTCATCCCAAGGGTTATAAAGCATCTTCTAG